AAAAAACTATTTCTTTTCAGGGGTGTGTCTGGCCAAATGGGAGAGTAGTTACAACACCAGAGCTACAAACTACAACCCTGGAGACCAAAGTACTGACTATGGGATATTCCAGATCAATAGCCACTACTGGTGTAATGATGGCAAAACCCCAAGAGCAGTTAATGCCTGTGGTATATCCTGCAATGGTAAGACTAGATAATATTTGAGTGATGGCACAAGAACTACCTGCATATATTTACAAGAACAGATGTTCAAGCAAATCAAATAGCTTGTAAGGGTTTGTCAGGGAGCTAGAAAAAAATCCATCTCAACTTCTAGAAAGTGATTGTTATCCTTAAAATTCCCTGTATAGAAACCTAGGGCTAGGGATTTAGCTCAGTGGTAGAGTGCCTGCTCATTTATTGTTAATGGCCTTATTAAAGCTTTTCCAAAACTTTGCCATTCCATGTATTCACTGAGAATGGCTTAGGGATCTTTTGATTGTGTGGTCCTTTTGATTGTTTTATGCGTTATTATGAAAGGTCCTATGTATATAGAAAGTTAGATTTCATATAATGAATGGCTACATTCACTTAGCATATTGTACACTTTCAACAATAATTGACATCTTTCCATAGATTCTTTTTGTATGTATGTGTACATTTTGCTGAGAGATTTTAAAATTAATTAGAAATGTTGACATTTTATTTTTAAATCCTCTAGCTTGAATCTCCAAAATATACAATTCCTAAATAATCATTAACACACCTAAAACATTACCTTATGTATTTATGTACTTGGGATGAAACATGGTGTTTTAATAAGAAAAAGAACTCACAAGGTGCATTACATATATAAGGTATGGGAGTGTTAGACTCCTGAGCTCATGAAAATAGAAATAGCATGTTCAAATTTTAGTGTATAAAATAGTGTATACATATTGTGGACTTGATATTTTTAAAAAATTTTAAATGTTAAAATTCCCAAGAGAAGATCAATTTTAGAATTTTATTTTTAATCTAGCTAATTTACCTAAAATTATTTGTATTACATAATAATCTATGATCATTGAATAACATGTAGCAAATAAAAGCAAGATGAAATAGCATCCATAGTCTTACTACCCAGAGATGTATAAGCATGGATAACTACATACTCTTTCAGAATCAACATGTATATAAATGTAAAGTTATATCAAACACATACATAGCCAGATACAAATATGTTTTTACAAAAATTAAATTTTATTACATATCCTGCTCTACAATTTGCACTTATCACATACAAATCTGTTATTATTATTTGAAAGGGTGAAGAGAATTCCACTATTAAGTTGTTTCTACTTTTCCCTGTCATGAATTGTTACAAATGGCTTTATGGATACATGTGTAGAGTTTTGATACATTTTCTCTCTCTGTCTTTCTCTTTTTATAAAATTCTTTCTCATTTTTGTGATTTTGCCACTGGGCCATATCCCGAGATCTCTTATTATTTTGGGGGGATAAATCATCAATGGTAGAATTCCTGAGTAAAAAATTTCTGGGCATGTCTTTTTTCACAGTGTGCATAGGGGCCTTTCTTCCATATTACTTAATCATTCCAGGGGTTAGGGTTGTGGCTAGCAGCAGAGCACTGACCTAGCACGTAAGAGGCCCTGGGTTTGATCCTCAGCACCACATAAAAATAAATAAAATGAAGGTATTGTGTCCAACTACAACTAAAAAATGAATATTTTAAAAAAATAATAATTCCAACAACTTTAGTAACTGAGAAACAATGTGTTATTTCATGTCAACAAGGAAAAGAATTAAAAGGAAGTTTTTCACAACAATCACAGATATATAAATTCTTGGAAAAGAACTTCTTGGTATGCTTTCCTCTGCCTAACATAATAAAACTGGCTAAGTGTAAACTTCCAATGAAATTGCTAGAACATCCTTTTCATGCCTCACCACCTCTCTTCCAGCTCTGTTGCAAGATGACATCTCTCAAGCCGTGACTTGTGCAAAGAGGGTTGTCCGTGACCCACAAGGCATTAGAGCATGGTATGTTTTAAGGTTTGAAAGGGGAAACTGTTTTACCCTGCTGTTCATATATGCAGTGAAAGAAAAAATTCAAAGAGTCCTTCTGAATATAAAGTTGTCCTTTGGGGCCTAAGGGACACAATGTATTACCTCCATCAGAAGAGACAATCTGCTCGAACTGATTCACAGTCTTGCCTATTTACTCCTCATTGATTTTAGGAATTTGTAAATATTCTCCACACTCTACTAGTTCTTTCATATCTTTATTTTTTTTTTGTGGGGGTGAGGTATAAAAGGGATAGAACCAGGGACACTTAATCATTGATCCACATACCCAATCCTTTTTTTTTTTTTTAATTTATTCTAATTTGTTATATATGACAGCAGAATGCAATTCAATTTATATTACACAAATAGAGGACAATTTTTTTATGTCTCTGGTTGAATACAAAGTAAATTCACACCATTCATGTTTTCATATATGTACTTACGGTAATGATGTTTGTCTCATTCCACCTTCTTTATCACCCCCATTCTCCCTCCCTTCTCCTCCCTCCCCTTTTCCGTATCTAAACTTTGTCTATTTCCCCTATGCCCCCCTCTACATCCCCATTATGAATCAGGTTCCTTATATCAGAAAAGACATTTGGCATTTAGTTTTTTGGGCTTGGCTACTTCACTTAGCATTATATTCTCCAAATCCATCCATTTATCTGCAAATGCCATGATTTTTTCTCTTTTATGCTGAGTAATAAATATTCCATTGTGTATATATGCCACATTTTCTTTATCCATTCATCTACTGAAGGGCATCTAGATTGGATCCACACTTTAGTTATTGTAAATTGTGTTGCTATAAACATCCTCAGTTTACACCCACAGGACTTAAAAACAGCATACTACAGGGACACAGCCCCAGTCCTTTTTTATTTTTTATTTGGAGACAGGGCCTCACTAAGTTGCTAAGGAGGACTGCAAGTTCAAAGCTGGCTTTGAACTTGCAGTCCTCCTGAGCTGCTACAGTTACACGCATGCACCCCATGTTGGCCTCCTTGTTATATGTGAAACTACTTTTGCTATAAATAAATGTTCCATGCACATAACTCAACATTTGTGTTCAGCATTCTGTGCCCTATGGGTCCCTCTGAGGAGGAGCAAAGCACCTTGTATACTCATCTCCACTTAATCAGTAGCAGTATCTAGGTCTAGTTCTAGGCTGTATGATATTTATGGATAAGATATTTTGTTCCCACAAAGATATTTAAGTATGTGCACTGCAATGCAGATATGTTTTAACCTTTGCTTGTGTTTCCCTTTTCTCTGCAGGGTGGCATGGAGAAACCATTGTCAAAACCGCGACCTCACTCAGTACATTCAGGGGTGTGGAGTGTAACTGCAAAATTTTCCTTCCTTCTTCAGCTCATTTTGTTACTTTGCCACATTAAGGGACACACTGCCACTAGTGTAGTGTGTCACACTACCATTGTTTCCCCTTCAAACAAGTAGCATTTTTACAGAAGCAGGAACAAAATATAGCCTTTCTCCTAAGAGCCATACCGTTCATAATTTGTGTTTTACTTAATAGTAACCCCCCATCTCCAAAAATAGGAAAAATAACCACTCTCTTGGGCAGTATAAAATTCTTAAAGGAGTGGAAAGCCAACCCTTAAAAGTGAAGACTGACTGAAGGAAGAATGTGTTTGCACAAAGTGTGTGACCTTCTGTTTAAGAATTTTCATAAAAAATGTTCCATTTATCCAGCTTTATAAACACACTCACAATTTACATATCAATTTGTTTTAAGCTTTGAAAGAACACTTGCCTGCATCTGACTGATCATAAGCCATTAAGGAGGGATTAAATGGGCTGTTGCTATTCCCCAATTTTATTAACTTAGATTCATGCATTTCATATAAATCTGAGACAGATAAGCTTGCATTACTAATTAACCACAGGAGTGAAATTATGCATACTGTAAAAATACAAATGTCATCATTAAATGGTTGCATTGCATATTTTGTCTGTCCTTGTTTAGACCCATTTGGGGTCTGGGGGGAAAAATCACATATATTAGAAAAAGAGAAAAGAAAGAACTTAGTACTCTTAATGTCTTCTATATCCTCACCTGCACTGAAAGCTAGCAATGGCTGGAGGAAAATCCACAAGCTGCCTAATAAATCTTACTTTGAATCCATAACCATGAATCTCATATGGCCTCAAGTCAGCATGGTCACCTCAGTCACTTCTCTGGATTCTTCCTGTGTTGTCCCCCTCTCCAAAACAACTATGATTATTTCACTTCTCCCATTCTTTGTTGAGAGCCCAACACACACATCTGACACCCTCCTGCCCCCTAACCTTCCACTATCCTCTGCTCTTAGCAGATAATCTTTGCTTATATATACCATTAAAAAAAAAAAAAAGCCATTTCAAAGAAGCACTACAAAGTTCTCCCCCTGTCACAAATCAGCAGTCACACCTTCCCCTCACTGATCCTTCCTTCCTTCCCACTGTTTCTGGGATGAAGGGCCTTTGCTCCTGGCAAAGGCAGCATCTCCACATGCAGCCTCTGTCCCATGCCTCACAACTCCCAGCTAGGCTGAGCTTCTCCCTCTCTGCTCCATCACCTCCATCATTGTGCAAAGGGCCCCCCAGCATTCTCCCATCGTACAAACAACATTCCACTGACCCTACACCACCCTCCAAGTACAACCTCAGCATCTGCTCTCTCCATGGTGGGACTTCTAGGGGAGAAGCACATCCCCACCTCCCATTTCTCTTCAGCTCTTTCCAGTCTGGCTTCTGTCTCACTCAGCCACGTCTGCTGCCCTAGGACTTCTCCCATGACCTGGGTACAATTCCAGTGATCATCTGCTCTCTGCTTGATCTCTCATCAGCATTTAGCTAAGTGAACCACTTCATATCACTAGAAGCTTTTTCTCTCTCACCTTCTTGCTTACATCCGACTTCATAGGCTGCTCCTTCTCAGTTCCTCTTTCCCATTCTCTCTCTGCTATTTCATTCCTTTTTAAAATATTTTTAGTTGTAGAGGGACACAATACCTTTAATTAATTTATTTATTTTTATGTGGTGCTGAGGATCAAACTCCATGTTTCCCACGTGCTAATCAAGGGCTCTACCATTGAGCCACAGGCCCTCTGCTATTCCATTACTGAATGTGTGAATGTCCCAGGGCTCAAGCCTATAACAATTTGATATGCAAAAAATTTTACTTATTCATTTATGGTGTCCCCTCTTGTCCACGATTTTATTCTCCATTGTTTCAGTTATCATGGTCAACTGTGACCCAGAAATATTAAGTGAAAGTTCCAGAATGAAACAATTGATACATTTTGAATTGCATGCCATAGGGAAGTGTGTGATGAAATCTCCCACTGACCTGCTCTGCCCTGTATGGAACATAAGTCTTTCTTTGTTGCACCATCCTTTATTGCCTCCTGATCATTACTCATTTAGTAGCCAACTCGGCTACCAGATTAGCTGTGAGAGTATCCAAGTGCTTATGTTCAAGCTCCTTATTTTACTTAATACAGTAATTGTTCAATTTAATTTTTAGTTATTGTTAGTCTACTGTGTCTAATTCATGTATTTATAATTTATAAATTAAGCTTTGTCATCAATAGCCAATAAAATAAAAAACATAGTATGTACAGGGTTCTGTACTGCCTGTGGTTTCAGATAGCCACCTGGGGTTTTGGAATATATCCCTCAGGAATAAGGGACAACCATTGTATTAATATCTCCTCAACAAATTACAACTTCAGAAAGGATAGTTTTTCCACTTGTTAAAAGCATTGAATTGGGCTGGTGGGCACAATACCTCAGTGGTAAAGCAGCTTGGCTAGCAGGCAGGAGACCCTGGGTTTGATCCCTAGTACCACAATAAAAGAGAGAGAGAGAGAGAAACACACACACACACACACACACACACACACACACACACACACACACGGTCTTACTTTCTCCCTGATCTTCCCATCCTTCTTCCCCTCAGGCTGAGAAGAAAGAGCCAGCTCTGGTCCTGGCCTGAGGGAGAACACTGAGAGTTGAACTGCTCCACATGGACTGACAACCAGTCTTCCTGTTCATAGACCTGCCATTCACTCCTGCCTCAGAGTTGCCTCAGTCTTTTCCCAGTTCTAGGAAAACAGTCACCTTGCTTTGTATTGATGTCCCCTTCTACAGGCACTCACGTGTCAGCTAGACCCATTATCCTAAATTGCCCTTCACCCTCTGGATTATAAAATTGTACTACATTTCTCATCGTCATCGATTCTGCCTTTCATGGCCCTTGTTGACTTGTGCCTTTTAAATCTTCTTTGGGTGATATTTTCATGGGATGTGCAAGAGATGTGAGATGGTGCTATCCCATTGAACATTCTAACAATATCATAAATTGTGGCAAAGATTTGCTTTAAAGATGACTTAGTTTTGGGGAATAGTCAAAGTCTGTGAGATCCTTCCTCATCTCCTATTTCCCAGTCCTGAAGTCCCCAACATTCACCATAATTAATTATTTTTTCTCAATTGTAGGAAAAAATAAAGACAAAATTCTGAATTGTGAATAATTAATAAATTATTATCGATTGGAATAGGATAAAATTGTCTGGGATCTAATGACATCTTTTCTGAAAAGACAAGAGACTCATATTTCATCAAGTAAAACATGCAGAATATACAGAACTTCTGGGGAAAAATTCTCTGCCCCATCATGCCTACTTGCTCTTTTATTTTTAAATAGCTTGCTCATTATTTTAATTGAAATAATAACAGTATTAATTGAATGTTATACAGAGTGCTTGCCTTGTTCATGTGAGGTACTGGGTTCAATCCTCAGCACCACATTAAAATAAAATAAACAAAATGAAGATATCATGTCCATGTATAACTAAAAAAAATTTTTTTAAATAAAATAAAACAATCTGCTTAAAGTATTTTAATTTGATGTTTTAACTCCCGTCCCAGCTAAAGGAGTGTGGATGTAGCTCAGTCGAAGAGTGTTCCCTGACATAAAAAATAAAAAGACCTGGGGCATAGGGGTGTAAACACTTCTTCCCTTTGAAGTAGTCACAATATATCAGGCAGGGTATCATGGCTATCAGTTTGGCTGTTGGTGGCAAGCAAATATTTGCTTATTCTATCCTCAAAACATGTAAGTCCATAATTGTTCAAACACTTGAAAAGAAAAATTAACCTCATCAGCAGAAGGCTTAAACCAAGACAGATAATAATGGATGTTCTGTTTTGTTTTTTCCAGTACTGGGGACTAAACTCAGGGCCTCTCACAGTGCTAGGCAAGTGCCCTACCACTGGGCCACATCCCCAGCCCACAGCTGGGTATTCTCAAGTGAGTGAAAAAGGATACAAAGGGGACCAGAGACTATCTCTTTGAACCATTTTCATTTTCTTTGGGTCCCCCAAATCTGTCTCACTCTTTATTATTAAACACTCAAAGGTAGGCCTTGTCTGAACAATGTGATTATTTTTTTTATTTTTGAACAGGCTTCTCAAACACTCATTCACAGCCAAAACTAGTAACCATTAAAGGTCAAGCAGAAAGAAACTTTCACTCATGCAAAATAAGGGTAACCACAAAGTGATAACCTTGATGTGGCTCAGAATCTTTTCTTCCTAGGCAGATCCAGAGCACAGTTCTTTCTGAATTCAGGTAGTGTTTGTTCATATGCTAAGAGTGTGTTGAGCCTCCTGACATGATTATCTTTGAAGGTAGCACTTGGTTGGATAAATGTGTTTCTGTAGGTTTCAGTGGTAAAGTCCTATTGCTTTATAAGTGACCTCTTATGTTCTAACATGGAACAGGAGGCAAAGCATTGTGGAAGTGGAGATAGGAAAGTTGTTCCATGAGCCTTATTTAAGATAGGGAATCACTGATTTTTAACAATATAAAGCATGGGATAGTGGTGGTGAGCAGAGGACTATCTTCACACATCTCCCAGCAACCCAGAGAGGTGGCTCAGAGAAGGATGGAATATGCTCTGAGGGACCCTATGATTATGAAAAACTTCCAGGAGAACCAGTACCTTCTCCAAGTCTCCCCAGTGGTGGCTACCAGATAGTAGTGTTGTGCCAAAGGAACCACCACTACTAGACAAACCTGGTGAAGGAAGCTAAGTAGACATTACAGTCATGTTGACTACTGAGTAATGATGAAGATCACAGGTTTTCTCATGATCAAAAAAGTGGTCCATCTCACAGAGGAGATGAAACTGGCTGTACGTGGACAAGAGATGATTGTTCTGCAAACCCACAATGTGAGTACAGGGACATAGGGGATGGATTTAGAAGAAAAAATTTCCAGTGTTCCCATTATGCAACACACCAGTCTCATCAAAGGGATGTTCCAGTTTGTAGACAGACACTGGCAGGTGGAAAGGACTCTCCACACAGCAGATCTGGTTCTGGAAGTATTTGAAGATGGCACAGAAGTATTTGAAGACAGTCAGCTAACCAATTGCTCTAAAGCAATAGCATCAAAACCCAAAGAGACCAAACAGGTTGACCGACAGGACTGGGAAACATTTGGGATGGTGGTGATTTTTTTTTTTTTTTTTTTTTTTGAGAGAGAGAATTTTTTAATATTTATTTTTTAGTTTTTGGTGGACACAACATCTTTGTTTGTATGTGGTGCTGAGGATCGAACCTCATGCATGCCAGGCAAGCGCGCTACCGCTTGAGCCACATCCCCAGCCCGGTGGTGATTTTTAACAACATAAAGCTTGGGATATTTGCTGCTTGCAAATGATCCTTCATTAGAAAGGCCAACAGAGGTGGGCTGGGGTTCTAACTCAGTGGCAGAGCACTTTCTGGCACATGTGAAACTATGGGTTCAATCCTCAGCACCATATAAAAATAAATAAATAAAAACAGAGGATTTGTGTCCATCTACAACTAAAAATATTTTAAAAAAGAAAAAGAAAAGCCTATAGAGTTTGTATTAAGCAGAATTTGCTTTCAATAGATGAGCACTTTGTGGAAGAACTGAAGTAGTTTCACTGCAGAGTATGATATTCTCAAGGCTCTTTTGTAGAGCCTTTTTAGTGGGTTTAGTGCTCAGGCAAAAAATAAAATAAAAACGTTTCTAGATTTGTTTTCCCCCAATTGTTCAATCCTTAATATGTGGAGTTTTTGTAATGAAAAGAAATAATTTATGCTAGCTGACTACATTTTTGTATCAAATAAACATCTAAAACAATCCGCTGCAGGCTGGGGCTGGGGCGCTTGCCTTGTACATGTGAGGTACTGGGTTCAATCCTCAGCATCACATTAAAATAAAATAAACAAAATGAAGATATCATGTCCATGTATAACTAAAAAAATTTTTTAAAATAAAAAAATAAAATAAAACAATCTTCTTAAAGTATTTTAATTTGATGTTTTTTGTTTTGGATTTTGTTTGATTGTTTGCTTTTGTTTTATTGTTGTTTTTCTGGTTTTTGTTTTTTGTTTTGTTTTGTTTTGTTGTTTGCATGTAGAGCCTAATCTATACCCATCCTTCATCCTTGCCTTGCCCTCAATTAAAATTTTTAAGCTTGGACAAAATAGTCCTGGGGTGCAGCTCTCTGTACGTCTTTCCCATAGTCTTCCATTTGGGCACATGAGTGTAATATACAGATTAGAGATCATTTCACTCAAATATTACTAGTCTTTTTGCATTTCATAGTGAAGATAGATACCTTGTGGAAATATTGGAATGCTGAGTTGTAGTTTTATTGAATTGTGCTCACTTTCCTTAGTCTTTGTAATTTTTAATAAGTCAATGTGTCCTATCCTGAGTACTTAAGTATCTTAGAGAAGATTTGCTTTGAGAATACATCTCAATGATAAAATAGACATCTTAAAATAAAATATTTCTTTCCAGACTCAATGTGTCTCTTCCAAAATGCTCCTGAAACTTTTGACTACTCTCACTGCTGGGTAGTCTTCAACAGTATCATAAAAAAAGACTAAAAGAAGGGGTAATTTTTAATGGTCAATAAAGGATATTTTAAAGCTGAGATTTTTTCAAAAACCCTTCAGATAAGTGAAAGAAACATTTAAAATATACAAGAGTTTTATTTATACTTAAGTCCATACTCCCTGTCTCAAAAAAAAAAAAAAGATGACGGATAACATGCTCATGATTAAGCCATTTGCAGAATTACTCTTTTGTTAATTTTATAATCTGATGAGTTTTTGTTCTGCTGACTGTTAGAGGTTCCTAAACCTTTAAGAGAAGTCTTTTATTATTTTTTAATTTTTTAATTTATTCTTTTAGTTATACATGACAGTAGAATGTATTTTGACATATCATACATGCATGGAGTATAACTCCACACTCGTGTGGTTTTACATGATGTGAAATTACACTGGTCGTTTATTCAGATGTGAACATAGGAAAGTTATGTCCAGTACATTCTACTGTCTTTCCCATTCCCATCCCCCCTCCCCTCCCTCCATTCCCTCCTGTCAAGACAGGTGAGCATCACCCCACCCCCTGCCACCACCCCTCATTGTCAGTCACATCCACATATCAGAGATATCAGAGAGAACATTAGGCCTTTGATTTTTGGCTTATTTCACTTAGCATGAGAGTCTCCAGTTCCATTCAAGAGAAATTTTGAAAGAAAGAGAGAAGAACAGGCAGTAAGCCCCCCACAGCCAGCCTTACCAAGCCAGGCTGTGTCATCAGCCCTTCATTAGTGGGCCGTTCAAATCACAGTTCAGTTGAAAACCTAACAGGAACCCATTAGGACACTCTACTCATTTTTCTGGTCACTTCCAGTAGCCCAATGCCATTGAGCTAAAATATATCATCTGGTAATATTTGCGAGGAAACCTTAAAAATCATGTTTGTTGTTACTAGACAATTTCATTATCCTCCCATCTTCTTTCCATTTCCCCTTGATTCTCACTTCAATTCTGGCATTCTTTTTAGTTTTTAGAGTTACCCCAGAGTACATCAAGGATATGCTAAAAGTAGAAATAGAAGTCTGAATAATTTCAATGGTTTCTATCATGGATGCCCCAAAATATATATTATACCATTTCCCAAATTTAAAAACTAATGGAAGCCTGGGGTTGTGGCTCAGTGGGGTAGAGCGCTAACCTAGCATGTGCAAGGCCCTGGGTTCAATCCCCAGCACCACATATAAATAAGTAAATAAAATAAAGGTATTGTGTCCAATTACAACTAAATATAAAAAATTTTTAAAAATTAATTGAGCCAGGCCTGGTAGCCCATTCCTGTCATCCCAACACCTTGGGAGGCTGAGGCAAGAAGATCACAAGTTAAAACCAGCCTCAGCAACTTAGCAAGACTCTGTCTCAAAATAAAAAAAAATTAAAAGAGTTGGGGATGTGGCTCGGTGGTTAATTGCCCATGGGTTCAATCCCAGATACCAACACACACACACACACACACATACACACACACACACACACACACACACAAAAAAAAACTAATTGAGGCTAACATTTACTTTTTTAAGTTTCTCAAGAGAGTCTACATTGAATTTTTATTTTTGTCATTGAGATATTGTACATAACTAACTCATAAAACATAAGCAATGTGAAATCCAACATATTATCCTTGATATTCTTCTTTAATGTGATTGATTTGTTATAATCTTAGGAACATTAAGAAAATATTGACGTCATTTCCCCTTGTCCTCAGTGTTATACTTTTTCCTAAATGTCAAGTCCCATGATTCAGTTTCTTTAGTCAAGATTTCACAGGTGTGAAGACAGAAACCACAAGAGACAAAAGACTTGTCCACCTTATTGAAATTCATTAAAAACAAAACTCTTGGGGCTGGGGCTGTAGCTCAGTGGCAGAGCACTTGCCTAGCAGGTGTGAAGTACTAGGTTCAATGATTAGCACCACATAAAAATAAACAAATAAAATAAAGGCATGAGTCCATTAACAACTACAAAAAAGAAAAAAGAAGAAAGAAAGAAAACTCTTACTAACAGATACATTTAAATATACATTCAACAAGTAATTTCTTCATCTCCTTTACCTAAGTTGCATTCAACATTTAAAGCTCTTTCTCCCTTGCCATCAGCATTATTTCCTAGGCTTGTCAGTGTTAAGTTAGAGTTTTTTTCCTTTTCTTTAATGACTTTTTAAAGTCCAATTATAGGATGAATTCAGATGTGTACCAGAGTATGTATTTTGTAAAATGTTCCGGATGAAGATTTGATGTGTAAATTATCCATTGTTTTTTCAGTATAGCTGACGGATGTGATAAAATTTTCATTTTCTTACCAGGAGGACTTTATGATCAACATGGGGAAAGCAGGCATTGTAGAGCTTTTTGTGATATTAAATGTGCAATTTAAAGCAATCAAGTTTAAATTTACATATACATGTGTGTGTATGAGTGTGTATGTGTGTGTGTGTAATTTATAAAAGTAACAAAAATACCACAGTAGGAAACTAGGTGAGCAACATGGCATCCTGCTGTATAACCATTAAGATGATAGGTACAGCCAGGCACAGTGGTACACGCCTGTTATCCTCACAGATCCAGAGACTGAGACAGGAGGATTATGAGTTCAAAGCCAGCCCCAGCAACCGCAAGGTGCTAAGAAACTCATGAGACTCTGTCTCTAAATAAAATACAAAAATTGGGCTGGGGATATGGCTCAGTGGATGAGTGCCTCTGAGTTCATACCCTGGTACAAAAAGAGAGAGAGAGAGATATGACAGGAATATGTGTCATGTCCATTTTGTGAAAAGTATACATAAAATAATTTTAAGTGAAAAAGATTATTAAAAATAGTGAAAGTACACAAAACAATTGAATAAAAAGAAAGGGGCTGGGGCTGTAGCTCAGTGGCAGAGTGCCTGCCTAGCATGTGTGATTCACAGGTTCAATCCTCAGCAAAAACATTAAAAAAAAAATCAATAAACAAAGATACTGTGTGTCCCACTACAACTAAAAAACTATTTTTTTTAAAAAAAGAAAGAATTAAAGAAATTCAAAAACCACAGCTGATTTTAAGCTGTACAAAAACAGTTGTTTCTCTTTCTTTATACTTGCTCAACTTCATAAAGAGAATTTAAACAATATTGTGACTTTATTTTCCTATAGGATAATTCTCAGAACATCCCAATCTCTGTCTTCAAACATAATAAAAATAAAATAAAAAGACCTTAAATAGAGACAAATCACTAAGTAGTTCCTGTTCTGCACACAGCTCCAAGGGCGTAGCCCCTAACCACTAGAAAAAGAAGGAAGTTCCAAGACATTAAATACTGGGGCCAGCTTCCCTAGCTCAGCCTAGTGGTCTGACTTTCCCATCAACATGAAGGCTTTTCTGATTCTGGGGCTTCTTCTCCTTTCTGTTATAGTCCAGGGCAAAGTCTATGAAAGGTGTGAGTTGGCCAGAACTCTAAAAAGACTTGGAATGGATGGCTACCGTGGAATCAGCCTGGCAAACTGTAAGTTGGGTCTTCCTCATTGTTTTTACAATGGTTGAAAATATCATTTTGGTCCTCTAGAATTAGAGATAGCAGGTGAAGGGATGTGGGCATGGGAGGGAAAGATTCTATACCATTCTGAGTCCAACAGGACCTGATGTCCTCTGCTAGTGCCACTAGGTGGGCAGTTGCCTCTGATTCAATCGCCCACATACACTAACCAAAAAACACACTGAAGGACCTGTTTGGAACTCAGGTTCTCAGCCTAGAGTACACAGTTATTTTTCTTTTTTAAAAAATTATTCTGCCATGCCAGCCACCATGGCCCACATGTGTACTCCCAGCGACTCTGGTGCCTGAGGCAGGAGCATCTCAAGTTTGAGGCCAGCCTGGAGACCTTAGTGAGATCCTGTCTCCAAAACCCAACATGCTGAGGATGTAGCTCAGTGGTAGAACGCCCTGGGTTCAATCCCACAAAAGCCTACAAAACAAACCCCTTACTATGACAGCGTATGTTTCATAGCAAAATCTTTCAAAATTATGTTGGATTCTCCAGAAAAAGGTGGTAGGACCTCTCATTCCCCACCCCGTCACTATTTATATAACGATCTCTACAACTCGGGGCTGAGATTGTGGCTCATGGGTAGAGCGCTCGCCTAGCAAGGCCCTGGGTTTGATCCTCAGCACCACATATAAATAAATAAAATAAAGGTATAAAAAATCACATAAAAAAGATCTCTATAATCCAACATAAAATGATTTATAATTCATTTTAAGTTGATTAATTTTCAATTTCTTCCACAACATTCAAACATGCCATGACAAATAGTTACTTTACAGCATACTTCATATTCTCCAATCTCTGTACTTTTCAGATTGACCTCAAATATTTCCCTTCCACAGCTATTTGTAAATGAATGAGCAAGTAAGTACATGAATGGGTGGTTGAACAAAAATCACAGAATACCTTTCCTATTCCATAATTCTTGGTTTCAAGATTCAACCAAATTTAAATTTAAATTTAAAAAATATCAAATTCAAGATATCCAAATTCACCTTTAGGTATTACAAGAAAATCTCTCTCAGAAAAATCCTTAATTGTTTCTAATAAAGCATTTTCCCATCAGCCTATGTATCTGCTTTGAATTTGTACAACCTTCTCAATCGCTCATTTTCTGTTCTAGGCTCAATGTTGTCTGAGAGATGAGAACAGGGGAAGGTAAAAGCAGTGGAAAAATAGCAATTTAAATACTTTTAAAAGTAACTTATCTTGCTTCACATTCTTATAAACTGATTTGTGCTACAAAAGGATTTTCCTAGGAACCCTCTATAACAAAGGTGTTGAGGCAGGCAGGCATGGTGGCTCAGACCTGTAGTCCCAGCTACTTGGGGGGCTGAGGTGGGAGGATCACTTGAGCCCAGGAGACCACCCTGGGAACTCAGTGAGACCCTGTCTCAAACAACAAAACAACCCTAACCTGTTAACATATTTTATGAATTAAACACATCTTGTACTTACAAAATAAATCACTAGTAAAATACAATTAGTTGCATAGAATTGGTTTTGATACACAGTATATAAATCAGTTGGTGTTGCTATTTATTATAAAAAAACTATTTCTTTTCAGGGGTGTGTCTGGCCAAATGGGAGAGTAGTTACAACACCAGAGCTACAAACTACAACCCTGGAGACCAAAGTACTGACTATGGGATATTCCAGATCAATAGCCACTACTGGTGTAATGATGGCAAAACCCCAAGAGCAGTTAATGCCTGTGGTATATCCTGCAATGGTAAGACTAGATAATATTTGAGTGATGGCACAAGAACTACCTGCATATATTTACAAGAACAGATGTTCAA